ATCTATTGTATTCTTTTCCGACAGACAAAGCATTTTGCACACCAATGACCACAGACAATGGAAATCCCCGATTCTTACGACCAGTGTGAACCAGGCATTAGTTAGCATGTCTGCTGCAGGTTTGTTACAAGTTTTGCGTTTTTACGTGCTTATATGAACAATCCTGCGTGCCCATTCGTTTCCGCAGCTTGTTGACAACAGCTGTTGACACTCAACTTGCTACAAGGTTCTTGACCTCAACAGGCTTGTTACAAGTTGTTCCAACAACTTGTTATCATCCTGCAATTCAACAATTTGTCAACAAGTTGTGAGTGACAACCTTGTAGCAACTTGATAAAACAACAGCATTGTTACAACTTGTTGACAAGCCTGCTACAACCTGTTGACAAGCCTGCTACAAGCTTGTTGCGAACACATCTTGTTGACAAGTTGTGAGATTTTTACGTGTGTAACAGAAGAAACATTACTAAAATAAATTGTTTACACCGGAAATTTTTGAAAATTGTATCAAGCCACCTTAAAAATATTTTATGGAAAACGTTGTTGTTTCGTTCATACAGTTGTAAATATTTCATACTTTCCTTACTTTAATATTGAATAAATAAATTTTAAACACCACATGATCGAATAACGATTTGAATTGTAGTCTCAAGAATTAATTAACTTTATCAAGATACTTCACTAACTTCAGAGGCTTCGTGAAAGGCCTTGTTTGTTAAACTTTATTGAGTACAAATTAATTCAACAAATATTCATCTAAACATGCAATTAAAAAGTGCTGTACTCAAACGGACAAGGCACAAACTGAACGTAAAGTCCATTGCATGGTGCCCCTCCTCTTCCTAACATAGACCTTTTAATTAAAGTCACAGTGTACTGTACAGGGTGTCCCAAAAAACCAAAACCACTGAAACAACGCACTGCTAGAATCTGAACGCCTCAGCACCAAAAAGAAACAAAGATGCGTAAAATAAAACGGCTTACAATTTACAGTAATTTTTTTATTTAATTATTTTTTGCACTGATGTGATGGATGCTGATTCGTTTTCGAATAAATCCATTTTGGTTCATTAGAAGGAATTGGTGAATCCAGTCATGCAGGTCAAGAAGGCCGATCGCAAACCACCAAAAAACTGGTGTCAGTTACCGGGTCCTAGCTTGCGGCGTAAATTAAGCGTTTCCTCACAATGCTGTTCTCTCCAACTCTTTCAAACTTCATGATGACTTCTTGTACACTTTTTCTCCAGTGTGGTCTAGCCTGGCAGTTGTCAATTTCTCCCAAGTACGGCTATCGTTCTTGTCGTGAATGCATTATCCATTTGAACAAAGTGGCCAGACCATTGCATTGGCATTGCAGTTGCGAATAATACCTTCGTCACTTCGATATCTGCAGGGATGAGCTCTCTTGAAGACATCCATGTTCGGGATTTTGTTCTCCAAATTTGATTTCCATGATGTTGCGACGACACTTTTGTTTGAAGTGTAAGTTACTGCTAACGACAGCTTGAAAAAACGGCTATTTTGGTCGAGAGGAATATCATGTCTACTCCACACCATGCAAGGTTACAAAAAAGACAACTAGAGAGAAAGCAGGAAGAAAAAAAGTTGTAAATATTTATGGTAAAAGGCCGCTGTGGTAATTATACACATGAAAATTGTCAATCATACAGATAAAATAGCTGGTCGAGGAACTAGTTTCAATCAAGAATTTCGTAACGTATAGTACTCATATTAATGAAGAAAAACATGTAACCATACGGAAATTTTGTAGTGAAATTTTTCAACAGAAAATGAACCAAAAAGTATATTACTTAATACTTCACTGACATTCAATTGACAGAAATAATCAATAATAGGCACGAAAGATTTTCATTAGCAATCCACAGGCTCTGATCTGGACGAAGCTCAGACGTGTCCTATATACAGTATTTTACCAGGTATTTATTTTTTAAAAGATTATTTGTTAAAAGATTACAAATATATTATTTTCTATAAAAACTACGCGTAGAAAAATACATTTGATCGTAGCAAAAATACTTGACCATGTCTGTTATCATATTTTCAGTATAAATAATGAAATTAGAACTAAAACGTACTTATAGTTACTTAGGGGCGGACAATTAGAAAAGTGATAGTGGATGGGGGAAGAGAAAAAGTCGCGCAAAGGAAACCAAGAGGAAAAATAATTCGTGCAAAATTCCGCAAAAAAATTTCAGCACAAGGCCGTGCAAGGCGTCCGCAAAAAATTCGTGCAAGCTGAAAATCCACCCTCCTCCTCAATCACTTTTCTAATGGTCCACCTCGTACGGACGGATACAGTATAAGTGGTACAATAATGAAATAAATATAGAAAATGTTCAATATAATTCGTCTTGATATTATGGAATCATCCTCAAAGATTACATGCACTGGCAGAATTAGTATCATGAAAAGATCTACCAGATATAAATTTTTTATATGGCTGTGTAAGAACACTTTCCCTATGTCATATAACAAGGTTTCTATGTTGTGTATCAATTAATGATCATCCGACGTCATTTTTATTCAATTTTTGCTATTCAGTCTTTTTATTAAGATCAGTGGATCTGATAGTACGCATTGAGCTCTATATACATATCTGGAGCAAGACCTTCAGTCATTCACCCTGTGAGATGACGGAATTGACGTCCAATAGCTATGAAGGTCGTAAACAGTTTTTGTACCATTTTCTTAGCTAATTTCATTTTTTTCTAGCGGACCGTAACGCTAATCAAGTTTTCAAGTTATAAAATCATAGTTATAAAGTCAAAATATGAAATTTCGGCACACTCCTGGCAGCTTCGTGTCGGACCGCGCAGACAAAAACAGTAGAAAGGGACTGGGTTGACGTCCAATAGCTTTTCAACCTCCGCCATCTTTGGCTTCACTTCTTGGACTCGAGTTCTCGCTCCAGATATATATACAGCTCACTAATGCTATACTCTGCAAAATGCGACACATAATTGGATAAGCTTGAAGTGTTCTTTATTTATCGATGCACGTCTTGCATCTCGATGTCCACTTCGACGATACAGAAGAGTGCGATGACATTTCACAGTCTGAGGACATTTTCTTGTTTCCAGTGACGAATATGTGTTAGCTAAAACAGATATAAACGATACAGTTTACATGCATGTACGTATTGTGCATTTTTTAAAAACCAATCAAGAGGATTATACTAGTATGTTACTGATCCTAGACTGAAAGAAAAAAGCTTATGCAACATATACCTTTCGTTTTTCTGTAAAAGTTCTTATAAATTCTTCAATTTCCAAGGTATTTTCTAGCAGTTAAATATATGAAATTAAATTTTAAATTAGGAAATTTGAACCGACTTAGAATAACCAGGTGATAATTCTTTACCACCTCGTTCGCATCTTTCCTTTTTGGGCCTTTTTATATCTCAATATTATTGTTCTTATCTTAATGTATTCGTTATGGTATATCAATAAAGTTAATTAAATGGAAATTAATGAATCATATAATAACAATATAATTAGTATAGTGTCAAAAACTTAAGTCTTAAATCACAAATAAATAAAAAGATAAACATACAGTACCATTTAAAAACTGTTCTGCAACTTTCTGTTTACGAAAGAAACAAAAAAGGTGGTTTTAAAATTGCACGCTAGATTGGCTAGAATCTTGGTAGCATTTCAATATGTAATTAGCCGTTAATAAGAGTAGAACAATCGAATGATTCACCTCAGCTTTTTCATCCATTTCTGATACGCCAAGTTGCAGAGCAAGATGTAAATTGTCTCGAGTGTGCGTCTGAACGATATTAAAAACATGGTTGTATAAAGGTACATTTCACATGCACTCATGTTTAATAGAACATTTACCAATCGTGTCCAAACTATGCAGTATCGCACGATTCATGCATGTACACGGATACACGTCATGCAGATTTGCTAATTAACATACAGAACAGTCTGATTTCATTTTTACCTCGAGAAGATCATTTTGTATTGAAGACCATTTATCAAATTCATCTCGTAATTGAGATAGTTCATCGTACTATATATTGAACATTCAAAAATTAAAACATGCATGAGATATCTTCGGGTATAATTGGCTATCAATGTAACTCGCAGCATAATGCTTTTCGTCGTTAATACATTTCCAGGATAAACGTCATGCACGTCCAGTATTGTACGTATTTCGACAATAAATCACTTCATACAGCTGTACCTTATCAACAAGCCTTTGCCTTGCTTCGTATAGTTTTGGTCCGTACTCAATGTTTTCTCCTAGAGAAAAAGAAGGGAAAAAACCAATAAGGGCACAATAGATGCCTAACCGGCACGAGAAATTAATGAAATAAAACTCACCCGCAATTTTCTCTAGCCTGATCATTTGATCCTCTCGGTTTCTTGTACTGGAATTAATCTGTCGTTATAATGAAGTTTAAAAACACTAGATTTGATTGGTGTAATAAAGCTAACCGTTGTTTAACTGTAAAACAATTACCAAATGGCTTCCCGTACAGGATAGCGTCATCCATGCACGCGGGATGTTGTGAGACGTTCGGAAAGCGTATAAGTGGTATTCCTTTATTGAGTCATGGGAGAAAAGTGCTCTACCTGGCTAAAAACCAAGCTCACACCAAAGCGGGAACGAGCTTGGCTCATCCGTTTGTATTCACCTCACCAAAAGTTGTGTATTTCCAAAACCAGTATTTGTTTCTTGACCTTTACACGTACTGTACTGTAAACATTTCTCATTATTTATGCATGCTTCATATTCTACTACAACCAAACTCACCAAGTCTGCATCAAATATTAGTTTCATCAATTTCTCGGGGTTATTTTGTAAATCTTTCAGCTCTTCAACACTAGAACACATTAAACGTACAGTATACATCCAGTAATTCACTTTTAAATTTACCTATATATGAAATTTTTTTCTTCTTGTGTTGCATGGTGTTATGTACTCAGGTGAATATGATGTTTGTGATGTTACTTGAGTGTATATCCACACCGGGCAAGCTTGAAAAATATGCCTGCATGGCTACGGTGGGAATCGAACCTACGACCTTTGGAATACTACACCTCGATTCCCACCGTGGCCAGGCAAATTTTTCAAGCTTGCCCGGTGTGGATATACACTCAGAGTAACATCACAAACAACGTTACGAAATATTATAACGTCCTTACATTATACGGTATAGTATTATACTGTGCATGCATGCAGTATTATTAATAACATCCAGTACAGGGTTTATGCAGTATATTTTCCTAACAAGCTATGCAACTACCTGAAAAATATAAGGAGAATTTCGACGTTTCGAGCGAATGCCTTTCGTCTGGAGTTACTAGCTTGAAACGTCGAAATTCTCCTTATATTTTTTAGGTAGTTGCATCCCTACCAACAAAAGCTTGTTTATATTATTGGCACAGCGACACTACCTACACTGGCACAAGACACTACCTACACTGGCACAGCGACACTACCTACACTGGCACAGCGACACTACCTACACTGGCACAGCGACACTACCTACACTGACACAGCGACACTACCTACACTGACACAGCGACACTACCTACACTGACACAGCGACACTACCTACACTGACACAGCGACACTACCTACACTGGCACAGCGACACTACCTACACTGGCACAGCGACACTACCTACACTGGCACAGCGACACTACCTACACTGGCACAGCGACACTACCTACACTGGCACAAGACACTACCTACACTGGCACAAGACAGGTCAAGTATATTTTCCTACCTGCAATTGTCCAATGTCCGAGTGATTTTTGAGAAACCTTCCAACTGAAACAAGAAAGTGAAAAAATATAAACGTCGCTACATATGTTATTTGCCAGACTAATATGAGAACAAAGTAAAGTAATATAGTCTACAGATCTAGCACCTTACTTAAAACTCTTTATCAAAAATACGACTTTTACAAAATGTTACTTTTACCTTGTCTTTGGAAGTGGAGTCATCATCAATTTCTGTTTCAACAAGTGTCGTTGAAACTGACGATGGAATATCCTCCACTGCAGTAGGTCTCATATACGACTGTGGTGAACTTTAGAAAAAAAGCACGGGAAAAAGAAATCAAAATGTTGATTAAGAGATACATGTAAGTAGATCTTTTGAAATTTAATCTTCAGTATCAAGATATAATCAGCTCCTCTCTTTTTCAAAATGAAAAAAGTGCCACTGTTTTGAATAAATGCCAGTGCATTTTCCAATGATACATGTATAGGTAATATCATGAACTTATAACTTTTGAGTTTTAGGCTTGGTAGAAAATTGCCTCGGAATGCAGGAAATGGTGCTGCAGAGACCTTAGAATCCCAATTTTCCCCGGGCTCCAACCCGCCCTCCAACAACAACAACAACAACAACAACAACAACAACAACAACAACAACAACAACAACAACAACAACAACAACAACAACAACAACAACAACAACAACAACAACAACAACAACAACAACAACAACAACAACAACAACAACAATGCTTGTTTCTTAGATTGTACCATTGGATATTTTCGACCCCCCCCCAAAACAAAAAGACGGTTAGTACGCCACTGATAGGTGACCCTTTGGGCGGTGCTCCCCACTTAGATACAGATATTTCACAGCACACTCCCTATCAGGGCTTTTCAGTGACTGGTTACATTGTGAATAGATAGAACTGGACTGACGTGAAGCAGACCGGGGTAGACTTTGGGCTTACAAATGGCGCTTGAGCAGCCGCTATTAGTCCATACCTCATTAATGATCTGCCCCCTGACCACTTCTAAGATGACTCCGCGCGCGGGTTTTGGATATAATGGGAATTGGCTCAATGCTGGCTTACCTAACAGCTGCGTGGTTCTGATACTGAATAAATGAAGGAGGGTGTTCAATTAACTCCTTACACACATCCTGTAAAGCTCGTCCTAAATTTGAGTGCATGTAAAACTACATGTAATTGAATAAAAGAAAAGGTTAAATTAGATTAATTTAGGAGTAAAATGTTCGTAAATTTTAAATGTTTTGGCACAGTCTGTCTGAAATCTTACTTGGTTCAGAGAATCACATCCTGTGACAACCATCTGTAAGTTGTACAAAATCAAAATAATTTACGTGGTCCGTGGTAAAATATACAGTATACAGTACCAATCACTTTTAACAATATCTCAATTAATTCTATCGCGTTGAATAATATTCAAGAAGTTGGTTGAACTTCGACATTTTAAGCGAAGGCCCTTTTCATCTTCAACGTTTCATTTGACATTTAAACGATCTGTCCACTTTTCTCCCTACCCATGCGCCAGTGCGTAACTGTGTACTCTGACTTTCAGAGTTTTTTTTGTGCCAGACCATCCCATTACACAATATTATCGATATTCAAGGTCATTAATATTTAGACTATTTCAGTTTTTACAGCCACACACCTGGTTATTAATCCAAGGATGTGTTATGGCAGGTGAAACAGTAACAACTGGAATCTCATTGGGAAAGTTTGGTGGTAAAAACCTGCCATAAATCATAATGAAAACAAAATTAAAGGCAAGGCAGTAATAGTACTATACCGGGGTGAAAGAAGAAATGTATTAAAATAACTAAAGGGGAACGTTTACTATTAGAGTACGGGACATGTTCTTTTCTTTTGTCTGAAGGAAAGAGTCTTTTACTACTCTTCCACTGCAACCAGTTATAGATATTAATAAAAAACTAAAGTAGTTACCCAATTCAGACCTCGTAAATCAATACTAGCAAACTTTAAAATCGCTATCGTCTCAAGTAATTTCAATTTGTTTTTCTTCCCTCTTTGTCTTTGTTTACACGGTCGTTTATACTTTTCTCCCTTCTAGCTACTATCGTGTGCAAAATGGTTGAGACACTGCACGTATTTTGTTGGCTACAGTATAATTTCAATAAATAAAAAAATGGTCACAAAATGTTTCGCTAAAATCGTCCAATCCCCCTCCCCCGTTCAATGTTTGTTTACCTAATTGGTCAAATTGGTGGTTTCATTTTATATATAACATTTATCCCAACATTGTAATCCATGCAATACTTACACAAGAAGATTCAAAGCCTTCTCTTCAATAAAAAATGTAATCTTGAACTCGACATTTCTTTGAATTTCTGTCACACTAAAAACACAAAATACAGCTAGTCCAGAGGTTTCAGACCTGTCAACTCACCAGATTTTGACATGTTCACCCTATTGTGTTTTTGACTTAAAAATACTTACATCTATCGATATTTCCCAAACAAAGACGTTTTTAGTTTGCATTTCCAATCTCAACTTAATTTTTCTTCACCATTTCGCACATTAAAGGTACGTACAGTATGTCAAAAGGATTTGAGATCAATTTCTCTCAGGTAAACACATTTTGTCTGATTTTATTTTCTAGTCTCTTAAAAATCCATTTTTGTTGATTTTGAAAATCTCTTAATCTTCTTCAGGCAGGCAGGCAGGCAGGCAGGCAGGCAGGCAGGCAGGCAGGCAGGCAGGCAGGCAGGCAGGCAAGGCCGAGTTGGCAGGCCTGAGGTTTAGCACCCATAACTACTCAAGACAGGAATTTTCGACAGGCACTATTTTGGATAGAATTTGATCAACAGTTTGTTGACATGGTGACATGCATTTGTTCACTGCTGGAACTGGGATTGAATGTCACGTTTTACTTCTTTTCTTGCATTTTCTGTAGCGCTCGAAAAGAAAAAATCTACCAATTTTAAGGGGATATATTTGGAAACTTTGCATTAAAGTCGTAATTGTACAGCTTATATTTTAGAACGGTCATATAGTGAATGGATTTAGAACTTCACATTGAGTTTCCACGATCATATCTAATGACGGAACTCGACTTATGCACATTTTCCCACACACAGTCAAGAATTCAATCATGCAAACTACCAAAATCCGGTGTTTCGCGAGTGGTCCACGAAAATGGTCCGTAAAAGTGGTCCACGAGTGTAGTCCACGGACCTGATCCACAAAGGTAGTCCACGGACCTGGGGTCCGCGTTTTGTCGTTTCCCGTATATAAGATATCTATGGTTGTTGCAGGCTAGTTTTATTATCAAAAACATTGTGAAAATTAGCCAAATACCATGATTAGCTCATCAACCTGCAATATAATCCTGCATCAATTCAGCTAGATCTGGCAGGGGGCTGCTCATCAAACTTTGGCCATGGTTCAGGGTGGGACCATTGACCAAACTTGTGTAATTACTAGAAGGAGCTATGGCAGCAAGGCACTAGTCTGTACATAGTCTCATGTATGAAAGTTTCACAATCAATCTCATTTTGCCTCGATTTTATTTTTGTTTTATTTGTAATTGCTTTTTCCAAGTCCAAAAATAGATTTGATTTGACTTAATTAATAGTTGGTGTGATGTCGACTTTACCAACTTAATTAATTAAAAATTTTAGAGATACCCCTGGTCTCCCATTTGGCAAGGCTAGGAAGAATGTGCACTCAGGGCAGTAGCGTTGTGAATATAATAAATTTCAGGTGAATGTCTGATACGTTTGATTGAAAATTCAGGTTACAATGGATTGATTGCAGCTAATAGTCTATAGACTTAACTTTGATCTAGGCAAGAAAAACGCAATCCATCACAACAGCTAGAAAGAGCATCTTAAAATTTAGTAAAATTGCAAAGTTTGGTTGTGAAATGTTGTATAATGCGGAAAATATAGCCCTGCAAAATTTGAAAATTTTGTATTACGCACGGGAGAGTGCACCACTTTCGGCCCAAATGTGGTGCTTTTTGCCTTGCGTAATACATTTAATTAATACAAAACTTGCAAATTTTAAAGGGGTATATTTTGAAGGGGTATATCTAGCTGTGCTGATGGATTTCGTTCTTCTTGCCTGGATCAAAATTTAGTATATATATAGCTGGATCATCCATTGTGTCTGAAATAAATTTCAGGTAAATGTCAGATAAGTTTTGACCCATTCCCCCCCCCCCATACCAAACAATTCTGGGAAAAGAAACATTACTTAGTGGTTAAAAAGTTATTTCAGGTAAAATTATGGTAATTGATGCTCACTC